TTTCTGCGAGCATTTCGATATTGCCTTATCCTCTATGTTCTGATCATCGCTGTCTACCTCTTTTACAAGTCTTATTGTCCATTAGCTTTACGACACTACGTGGATGGTGATTCGATTATAAGGTGTTTAACACTTTACTGGCTGGAAGTCTATCGAATTTCAGTGTTTATAGTTAAGAAGCCTATTAATTTACCTGCAGGTCAGGGTTAAAGAAGAAACTGTTACATCATTCTATTAGAATTCTTCTTATTTTCCCTGAATATAATTTGCTACTATGATTCAACTATTTAATAATAATTCCCTGCCTGTCGACCGTTGTATCTACTAAACCTATTAACCCGGTAGGTAATGTCTCAATTGTAATTTCGACAGTACGTGGGAAAACGTATTAATCACTATATCTCTCGCCTGCTAATCATAGCTCACATTGAAATCCACCGCAGCAAAACGATCGAACAAAGCGAAAATCTTACATCCCAGTACTCATCTGTCATCATAACCCCGTCGTAATCGATGTGCACGCATGGGCCTAACGAAATCGGTATGCTTCAACGGCGAAGCGAATAATTTTCTTCGGTCGTTCGATAGAACTCCTCCTCCGCCCGATGGGGTTGGAGAATGTATTGCCAGCGAGCCATCCAGCTCGCGAGCAACGATTCCCAGCCGCGTTCCGATCGAAATATGTGCGGCACGTTCCCGGTAAGGTAAACTCGAAAGGTACGGGGTCCACGGTGGTATTTGTCAAGACTCGGGAGACGTGCCCGTCGGTATCTGGACGGAGATATTATTCAAGATCGAGAGGGGGCATGGGGGTGAGGGTGGGATGGAGCCAGCCAAGACGAAAATGGGCACTTGGACAGTTGGACAGTTCGTGGTCGACGGTGTAGACGAGAGTCGTCTCGTCTTCTGCCCTCCTCGTCGAACGGTCGCCTCGACGTCTGACGAGCGGAAACGAACGAGAATCGGCACTGGTTCCGAGAGAACCATCCCCCTCCCCAGCAAGTGCCCGTTGTCAGGATGAGTTCCCCGGGTGTCACGCAGTGGACCTAACCTCTCTATCGAGTTACAGCTTTGTTTTCTGGGTCGATCGACTCCATCGCCACTTCGAGGCTTCCATGGACTTTCTTTGACCCCCTTTGACGACGTTTCCGGGTGGAGGGGAGGTGAACGATAAGCATGATACCAAGTCTGGCCCTCCGGAAAATTGATTTCCCGGACATTTCGCGGACTGGACGGCCGAGGGGATTCTGAAGTTTTTGATGGTGGGTGGAAGGGGCGCAACGGGTAGCGTAATGTTACTTTGTGTCCGAGGGGAAATCGATTTCCGGGGCTTTACGCCGCGGTGGAGATCGATACCGGGGATGCTTGTTTTGAGATTGTAATCGTTCGAACGGTCCGTGTTGCTGATACACTTGGTACATCGGTCGGGTGATGGTTCTAAATCGTTAGAATTGTAATAAATGATCGAAATTGGAAAGGGGTGATATGGATCAATGGTTTTGGAAAAGTTGCGGATCCTCAAGCTTCTCTGTTCGGTTCCCAAGATAGTGTGTACATATTGGGGTTCATTGCCATTTTTCTTAAATTTTTACATTAACATACTAGTAGCCCTACGTTATTTTAAAATCTGTAGCATTCCCCGTTTCTCTTTAGCAAAACGATCATTATCTTAATTTTAAACTTTGTTAGGTTAGATATTCTTTTTATATAATAACTAGCTAAAGCTGTTCAATGTTTAAAAAATGTGACTTGTAAGCCGTTATACCTTTACATAGCTCAACCCTGCGATATTTAACTACAGACTCCTCTCGATTATCGTTCCGAACTCGGGTCTGTATTATTGAAAGTCCGTGAATATTAAAATTATAATTGACCTTTAATTTACTATACAGTTTATGTTATACTATGTTATACTAAACTGTATACTATATGTTATGTATATTATTATATTATACAATTTAATTTAGTGTACATTCAACGCTTGTAGTTTTAGTGTTAATAATAAATGATTGATATAAAAAGTCCAGGAACTTTCTGATCATAGTTTTGATATGTAGCATATCAAACTATGAAAGTATCAAGTGTCTCTCGAATTCGCTGTTCAAACGTCATTCAGATGCGTCAAGTTGGATCATTCGGCTTTGTCCCACCTTCCCTTTCAGATGTCACAAAAGGGACGAGCTTTATCCCGGCTAAAGGATTCGATTAGGCGCACGTTCATTGTGTAAAAGGTTACAACGGCGGAACCGTCGTCGGCTCGTTTTCAACGTTCGCCAGAATTCCTTTCTCGGTTTCGAGAACGAAAGGGTCGAACTCGCTTGGTAACCAATAACGAGGAAGAAAGCTTTCTTTATCTGGGTTGCAAAATCAAATTGTCGTCCATTCGCCTCTCCCCTCCCAGCAGATCTCTCGCGACTTTTCACACGGGGGGTCGAAGTTCGTGAAAACATTCCGTTCGAACGGCCGCCATTTTGCTTCCCCCGCAGAAGTTAACGGCTCGTTGCTCGAACGAATCGAACATTTGGTTTTCATATAGCACCATAGGTGTCCTAGATGTATTTAATTTCAGTACATATATCAGTAAAAACATAGAATAAATTGCGATCCACCTGAAGAAACGACGAAGTAAGAATGTAAAGCGAAGTAACAATGTAAAAAATGGAATAAATTGAACTGAATTGTAAAACAGGTTCATAATTGCATAGGTAACGGTAGATTTAAGAGTTTATACTGATCTAGAAAATGCACTATGCATTCATGAGAAAAATTTTCTAAAGAGTGTAAATTTTGATTAGATCATTCAAATTTTATATTCATGAGAATCATCGTGATATTTTTATGAAATTACGGGGTAACGAAAGCGATTTTTATCTACTGTTTGCGAGAATTCTGAAGTTTACATAATTTTAGGACACTTTCCATTATTCCGGTTCCACTAGGGACTCACTCCCCAGTGGTGGGGATGACATTTGAATACTCAGGCCGACGAGTCTTCAAGCACTCAACGATAATTAACTATAGATATTAACATAATTTAATTTTCATGTGTCAAATATCTATTAATATTACTATAATTTTACTTTACTTTAATAGTTACAAGATTTCTCAAGTGTTCACTCATTAGTGCATTTACCCTACTATCAAATACAGATAAAACTACATTATACATAAAAAAAAAGTATATAAATAATATTTACTACATTATACAAATAAACCAAGTTCACCGACACGCGGAGTACACGAACCTCCCCTATGTACCAGAAATCGGAAAATCAATTCACAATGGATACCTGTCCAATCGATCATTAATGAAGTTTTTTTCCCAACGGTTAACTCCGCTTGTTTTTCTCGGCGTTTGAAACGCCTCACGATGAGAAAGGACGACGAACGATGCTTGTCCTCGGCGAACAACCCTTCATTGGTGTAGTTAGCGCAGAGGGCGAACGAGGGCAGGCCGGCTGGAGATCGAGGGGGACAAGGGGGTGGGGTGGGGGTGGAAAGGGTTGAGGCAACTTAAACAGCAGGTAACAAGAAGTAGCAAGTAATAATTGAGTCAGGCAAGTATGCCGCAGACCATACCGGCGAGCTGGAGAACAGGCGATGTGGATGTACCTGACCGGAATTCGAAAACAGAAAAGGGTGGGGTAATTCCGGCGACTTCGACGATGGAAGACGGCTTCCCGGGCGGTTCGGCGATCGGACGAGAGAATTTCGGTGTTTCTTGGAATATTAACGGTTCCTCCGAATCGGGACCAGCGGTTTCTTATTATTAAATTGCACGAAAATAAGTTGGAATTTTTAATCGGAAAGTTTATCGTAAGGTAAGTCGTAATTGATTGTAAGGTAAGTCGTAATTGATTCTAAGGTAAGTCGTAATTAATTCTAAGGTAAATTGTAATTGATTTTAAGGTTAGTCATAATTGATTCTAAGGTAAGTCGTAATTCATTCTCAGCCGCAGGTATCGTTCAATTTATGTTCAAGCAAAACAAATATTTAAGTACTGAACATTATTTATTGTTTCCTGAAATTTTGTGAAATTCGAATGAAATGGCACTATAAACGGAGACTACTGATTATGTAATCGAAAATTGTTCACTTCGTTCGCACAATGCTTGAAAATATACTTCAGATTCTTCAACCCATTGCGACGGAATAACGAGTCCGACTCGTAGCATGTAACCAGATCCAAATGTAAAACCGAGTCTCACTCGTAATAACTTTATTCATTTGTAAAGAAAGAAATAAAAAGAAATAAAAAAATTTATTCCAAGTATTGGTTTAATCATGAAGTTTAACATACTAACTATCGAAAATAATAAACATAATAACATCATAGTCTTGAAGATATTAAAAAAATACCGCCTGAATGGGTTAAAAGAACCTGAATTGGACTCGACAGAAATTAGTTTCTTTTCTGAATGGTTTTATTAAGTTGAAAATACAATAAATGTTCAACTTAATCAAGACGCTTCGTGGTATAATATTCTGGTTCATAATTCCAGTTCTCTTCGATCAATCGTATCTAAAACTTCTAAACCCAGGAAGCAAGTATCAATTAAACAATATCTATACTAATAAATAATAAATCCTTTCTACAATATGTGTGGTCAACGACGCAATACGGAAGTCTCGAATAATAAACAAATTCCTTTTTCCTTCCTCCCTATTTCACAAAAAAAAAAGAGAATTCAAAATAAATTCCGTTAGCACGAATAGCAAATAGAAAAACATTCGTACATCACACAAAAGCAAGTACAAGAAATTCGTACATCGATGTGAGGGGTCAAAGGTTAATAGGGCTTTCGGAATAAAAGGCACGGTACTGGCGTGTGTCGTTTCCGAAGTTGCCCGTTTGGCGGCGATATGGGCGTACCGATTTGTGAACGTCCCAAACGATTCCTCGTTGGCGATCCACGCGAATTAGCCCGCGAGACGTCTCCACGTGGGAAAAAGTGATTCGGTTTCGGGAGGGCGACACGAACACGTTTCACGATAAGAAATGTCCCAGAATAACCTGTTGCAAGGATACGGCTGTGAGTACCAGACTATAAACGAAAGAAAGAAAAAATAAATTATTAATACACATATATATCAACCTTCTTTTCTCTCGTCTCGTCTCTCTGTTCGCCGATCCACGCCGCGAATTTCTGTTCGGGTCCAGGAACAAATGTAAACCTGTTCCCCGCGATACGTCGCGCCTCCGTTCGTGAAAAATGAGCTGTGATAATGGCGGCTTTCGTTTATTTGCAAACAGCAGCCGGGAAAAAAAGGCGAGGACGGGTCGGAGTTCTGCCGATCGCGGTCCTGCTTCGCCGGCCAGACGAAAATTCCATCCGGTTCCTGACAGTTTTTTACGCGTCTCGTTTACCGAGGATTTGCTCTAGCACCCTCGACGCATCAAGTCCGATAGCCCCCGATGGCAATGGCCACCGATTCGATAATGCGTTTCGCCCGAAATTCCCGATCTGGTATCTCGCGAATCGTGCTCAGTGATCATGAATCGCTTCCTTTCGGGTGAACCATGCTTTTTTTTTTATTGTGAAGTGCGAGATTTTTTGGTGTATTATTTTATTTATGTTGTGTCGAGAATTGATTTTTGGCACCAGAAAATGAGCGACAGTGGATTTTTGTGGATCTATGATAATGTGGGTACCTTTACTTTTCTGTGTACATATTCGGAGACGTAAGTTTCTTTTTATATTTTATGTTTGTGATAAAGAGTTAATAATTTTAAAGAGAAAATAATTTTTTCTTCATATTTTCAATATGGGTCCTTTATATCGTACGTGCTCAGTTTTTGTGAGTGTGTGATTTTGTTGCTTTTATGGTTGATTTTACAGTATTTTCTCTGTTACGGTATTTAGAAATATAGTAGATTTTTTAATGCTTGCTATTGTTATATTCGAAAACCTTGGTGTGCAGTGACTCGTGGATCTGTTTACATCAATTGAAATAGTTTTATTCCATATTAGTTTCGTATAGCGATTAATATTCGTTTTGATTTCTGAATTAATTATAAACAATGCTGTCCTACAGAAAATTTTATACATATATAAAGAAATACAATAATTATGCTAGAGATACATATTTAAAATTCAATTGATTGAAATCAAATTAATAAACGAATGATTTCCAACGTTATTAATTAAGACCCTGGAAAATATATCAGATTCTCGTTTTTGAATTTTTTAAGCATTTGCATAATATTTCAGAGCATAACGGAGCTTTAATATTTATTCATGGCTCCCAAAAGTAAAATTCTGGATGTTGCTAAAAAAACACACTTCTTTTTTAATGCAAAAACCGAACTTTGGCATTAAATTATTGGGCTTTTATTTTATGTACGTATTCTATGCTTTGCTGAATTTGTTATTTGAGGAAACCGATGGAACCAGTTATAGAAATATTCGCCCGCGTGGATACAACATTGTCTAGGGATCGTCGCTCGACCCCTCGACGATCGTCATACATTGTATGAGGTGACACCTGTCTGCCCAGTTGCATTTAAATCAGTGTCTCTCAATTTATGGATCTCAGTCAATGCATTAATAATGCATTTTCAACAAATGAAAATTATCATTCCATTCATTTAGAAATTCTTAAATTTTGTATTTAAATCTTCAACTACTTATAATCCACTTATTAAATTTATATTTCTGTCTCAATCTATACTTGTGGGAATATTGATCAATTGGTGATATTTACTTACTATCATTTTTGGATTAACAAATTTTTTGTTATAGATTTTAGAATAGATTTGACATTGACAAATAATTTTTCAATAGAATTTAATCTCCCTGATCAACTCCTTAAATTTAATTGAACCAAAGTTTACATCAAATCAGGAAATATGTTTGATATCTATTCATGCAACATGAATTCACATGATTGTGCAATAAGAAAACAATAATAGAACTTTGATTTTGGGTTAATGTGGTCCAAAAGGTGCACGGCGATTAAAAATTATAATTTAGAGTATTCAAAAATATATGATCTCTAAAGAAGGAAAAAGAATATAATTGAATGTAACGAAAAGAATTGTATTCAATCATGAATTCTGATAGTTTGATATTCTCTTTATAGTTATATGGAAGAGGACGATTCGTTAAAGAATCTAAAAGCCTCGAATCTAAGTTTAAAATGGGAGGAAAAAAATTGTGGCCCGATATTCAAGCTTTTAATCAATATAAAATAAGTAACGCGTTTTATTCATTCATGTCCATTATGGATTCTTTTAGTTGGCTGCTGGAAATGGACTATTAAATAAAAAAGAACGTGCAAAAATGACTAATCCGTAAAATACAAGAATATCGTCTTCTCTTTAATCAAGACGAATCGTAAAAACGTCCTATTAAAAGATTATGAGATTTTCTTTTACCGGACTTGAAAAGTTTTAAGAAGAAAAACGATGCCATCTCTAATATGACTCTTTAACACTATAATTGTACTACTAAATTTGTTATGTCTCAGTCCTACTAATTAGTTAAATAGTTAAATATTAATTTAAAAATTACATAACAGGATTAAGTATAATTTTGAACTAAATGTTGAGTTATAATTAAATATAATTGAATCATTAGAAACGGTGATAATCGTGTGTAATATTATCATTCCTCTTTAACGCTTTTACGCTCGTGTGTAATATTATCATTACTCTTTAACGCTTTTAAGTTCAAGGTAACGATCTATTGTCACCTCTGTTATTTGCGAAAGTGCTCACCATAACGATTATCGTAATTGCCTTTAATTGCCTGTCGTCGCCAAAGTAGTAATTGAACAAATAATAAATATGTAAATAAATTTTCTAATGGTTTTGTGAAGATTTCGGTCTCTTTATTATAAAAATGTTCGGAGCTGTTCCGCAAGTGCTTTCTAAAAATCGCTGATACTAAAAAAGGTGAAAGAACAAAATTATCTAGCTAATTTGATCTTATACGTGAAAAAAATTATGGTGCTCATTTGGAAGCAAATATTCAGTGTTTCAATTACACTGTATATCATGTATAACAATTCTTTTTTTAAAATTATTTATTACACCAAATATTCGAAGAGGAGATAATCCTTGTTTCATTTGGAGAACCGAACCATTCGTCTTAAAAAGTTGGAAATTATCCCTAAATAACAACTGTTTCTTAAAATTATTTTTCATAGAAAATATTTAAAGAGGAAATAAATCTAATTTTATTTGGAGACCCGAATGTCCTGTTGGAAAAATTATAATCCTCCCAGAATCCTTCCACCGTCTTCAGAAATATTTTCATTAGGACAAGTTTATCCGGGCCGCGAGACGGGAGTGCGACCCTTTTTTTCGAATTATCCTTGCGAGCGGTAGCTATTCAAAATGATTACCTCTGAGAAAAGACAAGTAATTTTCATAAAGCACTCTTCCACTTTGCAGGGGAGAGCCAGTACGAAGATCCGCAGGAGCAATTCCCTCGGCCCATCCAGGACGAGGTTATCAGGTGAGCTTAAAACATTAACATGCATCCCGGTTAGGGGCGAGAGTTAGGTCAGGGTTAGACCTAAGTGATTACACCGTAATCAGGTCTATTCCTGGATTTAATCCTCTGTTTCTTTCTATTACAGTAAACCGCGTTCTGACGTATAAAAAAAATATAACAGAGCTTAGGGATTTCGCTGGAATATTCTAATTTTGTATGAGTATACTTTTGAATTTAATTGTTCCTTAAATAGATCGTGTGTTTCATGCATTTCAGAATGTTCATAATATAAACAGTAGCATCAATTTTTTGTAGAATAGTGATTATTAGTCTGTGGTTGGTAATTATGGTCTAGTGTACTTTTGACAAAGTTTAATGATGTTCTTTTGTCATTTTGGAACCTGGTAGAATCGTGAACGGTATCGAAAAATTTCTCTTTCATTCCCATTTATCTAATATACAAGTAATTATGTGAATTTCAATTTATCGTCTATTGGAGTTGGAAACTTTAATATGGAAGTACTGAATGAATAATAGAAAGTTTACACTCATCGACTACAGAGATGGTACTTTTATTGTATTATAATTGTTTTGAGTGCATGGTTTGTTACTTTTAAATTTGTTATATCGTATTATCAGTGTTTACGAAGTTTACGTGAAAGAAGAGACTTCAGGCTCTGACGGGAGGAACGATATCACTGTCGTGCCGGGTTTGACTTCCGCCAATGACCACCAGTTGATTCAGGTAATCACCAATCCCATCGAATTCTCAGTAACTAAAATTTAAATATGCAACTTTCTCGGTATGAATCTTATTGTTCACTGTATGTATTGAATTAAATAATTACTTTCTAATTATTTTATTATTCCTTTCCAATTGAATTAATCTACTTCTACTCTGAATCGATCTATTATTTTTCCGTTTAGAATGACTGCATGAATCTAGACGTTGCCATAGACTCCGAAGTAATCAACATCGATGGCAGCGTAGCAAAGTTTCTCGGGAAAGATGCGTTTAAGTATAAGGTCCGTATTGAAACACTAAGAATCATAATAACAATTTTCAATTGACATGGATTTGTTTACAAAATTATTTAGATCCTAGATCAAAATGTCAATGCACCGGAGGATAATGTTATGGTCTACTCGCACCCGGTGATCGAAGGGCCATCCTCGTCTTCCACTCAACTGATCGACAAAGATGACCCGAGATCGAAACTTCATTTTGTCAAGTACCTGAAACGGGACGGGAAGACTCTGAAAATATGGGAGTGCGGAATCTGTGAGTGGCACGAATATGGAATCAAATCAAATTCATAGTGTACCTTTCCTAGTTTACTACGTTTCTGTTAAATCTAGTTAACGAAATTTCACTTTTCAAACCTTTCACAGTGTAATAAAATGACTAGTACAAAGAAAACTCCAAAATATAATCGAGACTAAAACTATTCTGTCAAACCTGGGAATTATCGATTCCCATGGACTTGCCAAATTTTTGTTAAACTAAACAGTTCTATGTATATATGACGCCTTGACAAAGTTTCTATTAGACTACGTACATAGTTCCGTACTTGATGTTCCTCGAGTCTCTCTTGTACTACACTGTGAAGGGGTTAAATAATGAACACCTGTAACGTTTTGATTAGTCTTTGTTCTGGTAACTTGCACGTTACACTTGACGATTTGATAGTTCTACTTTGGAGGACTGGACTATTAAGTAGATTCTTGGAAGTTCTTCTCAGGGGTTTACGTAACAACCACATACACTACAGTATCCCCCCATATAATTTCTTGAATCATGTATCGCGTTTATAGAGACCTCACGTTGAATTCTCTAAATACTGGCTTCGATCTCTTAGCCCGGGGATATTAATGCAAATATAGATTTTTATGAAAATATTTCTATCAGAGAGAAATCTATATTCTGCATTAAGGATTTTAATTATTAATTAATTAATATTTAATAATTATTAGTTAATTAGATTTAATGCACGGTCGTATACACTTAGGCTAAGATATTTTAAAAGTAAAAAAGACGCATACGCCACAGGGATATACAAGTTACACATGATGTGGCGAGTGTATTAATTATTATTCTCAACTCTGTATATAACGACCGTAGTCGTTAGTACATTGTCCTCGCTTCGTGGTAAATTTTGAAAGCACACCTGGCTATTTTAAAGGATCACCCGCTCCACAAGGAGTTTCCTGACCTGTGTATATACGACCGTGGTTTAAAGGGACCTACTACGATATAATATAAGTATCAAACGCGTGCGTCATATGTCTGAGGCAGACGTTTTGTCAGATGGTTTCACGTCCAAGATAATGGAATTGAGGACAGGATAAGATCACATTTCGTTTAAACGTAGAGACGCACGCGGTGGATTATTTATAGGAAATTGCGCCTTAAGAAGCCGCAAGCTACCCCTACTGAGAAGACTACGAGGGGGACAGAGACAGCGAGAACCGACAAAGCAGGCAGCCTGCTTTTTCAGTATTGAAGTGAGATGATCGCACTGTAAAGTGGTAGCGCGAGCGAACGACGAACTTCAAAGTAATGACGCAGCGTCTCAGGGTGTCAACCATTGGCCGGCGGGACCGTCATAAGCGGATTTACGCGAAGGACGAGGGGAGTACCCCTCTTGCCCCAGTGTCGTCTGATATCACTTTTCGACTCTACCGAAATACGGAATGATTCTCTTGCTCGAGACGCCAGAGTAGCCGCCATCGGTGTTATAATCTGTCGATGGGTCAACATCGCGACACCAAAGGCCTGTGTCATCTACGGCTACGTGAAATCGGATACTTTATGGAGTATTATTTCTGATTTTGTTGAAACTTCGATATGTTAGTCTTTAGCGGTATATAAAGACATCTCGATGGATGTTTATAAATTTAGAAAAATTTTACAAACTGTTCGAAATACAGTGTCAACCTTTTTTCAATAAATTGTAATTGTGAAACTAAGGAACTGATTTTTATGAGCATTGTGGGTGCTTACAGTGGAGACATAAGAATACTTAATCAAAATTATTTCAGTTAACAAAATAGATATTTTTTAATCATTTATCTGTGTTTAATTATAAATATTTTCTTTAACTGGAATTATTTTTATTAGGTACTCTTATGTCTCCACTATAAGCACCTACAAAGCTCATGTAAGAACAACAGAAAATTAAGGAGCCAAGAAAACTCGCGTAAAAACAATGATGGTATAACCCAATTACGATATATCCGGGGCGCGGTGTTGTCAGGGCCCGTTACTGCGCTCGTCTTAACGTAAACAGTGCAGTAGCTATCTGGGCATTCGGTCGTGTTTATACGACGCTTGCGTTGAAATTTCCAACACTCATTTTATGATGTATTAGGAAACGGTTGACACTATATTTCAAACAGTTGTAGAATCAACAATTTTTATTAAAAAAGATTCGAAATGTTACTCCAAAAAGTATTCGATTTCGCGTGGAATGACCCAATAGCTGGGTACTGTTAAAAAATTTGAAAAAGAATGAGAATACAGTCCTATGTATCCGCTTTATGGGAAAATATTAAACAGTGTGGTCACTTTAAAAATGGGCGTGAGAAAATTAATCGAAGGTAACGCTGCTACCACCGCTTTTGCTCACACTCTTGCGTGCGTAGAATTTACATATGCGTCGACGTGGAAATTACATTCATACGTTCTAAAATAATTTAGAAAATTATATTTAGAAGTTACTCGAATCTTAATATTCCGGCTAGGTTCCAAGGAGTTCCGGCATCAGTACACACTGATGAGACATTTGCCGACCCACACCGATGAGAGGAACTTTAAATGCGAGGCTTGCGGCAAAGCTTTCCGGCAGTTATCGACACTGAGCCAGCACAAGGCGATACACAGCGACGCGCGGCCGTACGTTTGCGAATTTTGCAAGAAAACTTTCAACAGGTCAGCAAACGGAATCGATACACACGCGATTCCACCTTTCATGAATTGTTCTCGCGGTAAACTTTCGAGTTTTTGTGTGGGATACCGTGTCGATACCGTGTTTCCACCTCTTTGGTCGTTCCGTTTCTCGGTTTCCGTTTCTGCAGCGTGTTTCGGGCGTTCGTTTGAAGCGTTCTCGACGAAAAGAAACCGCGTATATAGAAATTAAAGCTACAATCTCCCTCCCAACGACAGTCAGGGAGAGAGAAAAAAAAAACTAATTACACGCGGGGTGTGCGCTCGAGCTCCCAGGTCTGGTCATTAGCGTTTTGAATCGCGGCGAAATTGCGAACGCGCGCGCGATATCACGGGGACCAGCGAGGACGAACGTTTTTAACGAGCGCGAACGTTTTTCTGTCTTTTTGTAAATTAGTCGTAATAAAGCGTGCTTTTCAAATGAGTCTATTTAAATGTATTATGACGACGGGATGGGCATGAAACTGACGCGGTCACGAACGCTGTAGATTTGTTTTTTTTTTTATTCGACGATGTGGATGTGATATAAAATTATTAAAGATATTGAAATGTTTGTTATCGATGAGAAATATTATTGCCTGTTGTGTAATTTTTTTTAATGCTTTATGGATTGTTTATTGGTTTGATTTTTTCAGAGTGTCTACGTTGATCTCCCATCGGAAAACGCACTCGGAACATAAACCGCACAAGTGTCAGGTTTGCGGAAAAGGATTTCATCAAAAAGGTAATTATTATAGTATGTGTATGTAATTGTTTCGTTATAATCGAAATATCTGTCTTCTGCTTATGTCTAATAATAATGGAACAGACTCATTCATTTGTATTTGCATAACTGTCCACTGTCTAATATATAATTACTGGTAATTGGAATATTATGCAGTCATAATAATCGAGTAACCAGACAAATGCATCGTCTACAAACGTACAGAACCGAACTTTCAATAAAAGAAGTAAATCAATCTCTCAACACGCGAATTAATCGTGAATCGAATGAGTAGTCCGGTTTTTCTTTATTCTGAATTTTATCTTAAAATTGGTGTTGAAATTATATGGTCGTTCCAATGATAAAGTCGCGAAACTGCAGAATTGAAAAAAAATAAACATCCTGTAACCACAAAAAGAACTGAGAAGGTAATCCATTCTCTTTTTTTTTTTAAGAAACTCGGTCCTCTTAAACGAAAAAAAAAAATGGTTTATAACTCTGAAAATATTAATGTTTTGACCCATGTTTATTAGGACTTCATTTTCATCATTTGACGAATATAATTTCTCCTAGAAGTTACGAACTGTTTTTTTTTATCACCCTGTATGTATATACCCAAAAAGTTCTGTGCAAAAGATATCAACGAATAATACTTCTGCGAACGAGACAACAAGCTTTTAATGATTCGCACCACTGTTTCGTTGTTAGGCAATTTGAGGAACCACGTGTTTACCCACACGAACGAACGGCCGTACAAATGCGAGCTTTGCGGCAAAGGCTTCAATCAGATGTCGAATTTGGTCTGCCACAAGGTCAAAGCGCATGCACACGCGGAGAAAATGCAGTACGTGTGCGGAATCTGCGGCAAAGAGTTTCCGCGTCGATTCTCTTTGAGATCGCACGAGGAGTACAAGCACGGCATAAAGTATCGGCACCCGACCACCGCGCAGCCCGAAATGAACGATCCGAACATCATAAGAAAGTAGGTAGACGTCGCTTTAATTTGCCCCGTGACAGACAGCCCTTTCCGCCTGGATGAATGAACACGCGGCCTGAATGTTGATCTTTCGAAACAGCGATTGCCTGACGCCCCCCCAAAACCGTTCTCTCCTACATCATTTCGAGCGAATTGATCAGTCTTGATCTTTCAGGCAGATTCTACGGGAGAGCTTGTCCTGACAGTGGCTTTGTACTACTAAAATGGCCGTTTGAGTATGGCTGTTATTATTCGAGAGTTTCTTCGATTGTTTTTTTTTTGTGGAATGATAAAGAGTGTGGACATTTGCAGAATTAGAAGTGAATTCTCGTGGATAGTATTTTGATTTATACGGAGGTTGAGTTAGAAACTTCAAGGGGTGATTCTACATCTCGAAATAAAATGAAAATCAAGAATGACGAAATTGTTTTCAAGGCTTAGTTTTCGAGTTATTATCAGTTACAGAGTCGGGCCAGCGCACGATAGTGTCGACACGTACATTGACGTCACTTAAAAAAGGTACATTTTTACCTTCTAGTCGAAAAAAAGTGATGTGTACTATCTGCACTGGAGCCTGGACTATCTTCTTGCAATAATTTATTTAAAAAAGCACACGCGAATCGTTGCACGATATTTAATTATAATTAAGCGACATCAGAGCACTGAACTAAAACTAAACTAAATTAAGCTAAAACTTCCTAAATAAATTAAATTAATACTATTCACAAAACATTCGAAGACTACTTTTGGGACCACTAGATGTGTACGCGTTGACGACCGACATCGAACTAAGGAAACGTTACTCGAATCCCATGAAATCCCAAGAACAGAAAGGTAATAAAAATATGTAAACAAGGAGTGGTTGAAATATTACCTGTTATTCCGCACGGTTACCAATGGTCCCGAATTAACTGCTGATGTTGGGATTGTCCCAAGGGAAAGGTACCTAACACATGTTTGGCTATTGTAAGAAGTACAGACATATTTTTTTTTTCAGGAGTTTATGACCCCAATTTATGACTCTTAATAACTCGAAAAGGAAGCCTTCAAAAGAATTTTGTTATTCCATATTTTTTTTTTATTTTGATATGTAGAATCACACCTTAAAGTTTCTGACGCCAATATTTATTTTCATTGGTATTTAAATATTAATCTGTGACTGAAACTGGCTTCAATTGAATTTTTTGTTTATATACTTTTTATACTTTTAAGAGAAAGCATGTTTATTTTGTATGTTCGCTTTGAGTGAAATTGTTCTGTTTATTTCATTTAACAATATTTTTTACGCGCATTCTGTACACTAGAAGAAAATTCATTTTCAGTAAAAATGTGAGGATCGTTCAACTACCGAATGGTGATCGTAACCATGCCATCGAAATTAGGGACAAGGATCCATTACTTGCGGTTAGTAACTCACCTGAATTATCAATTATCAAATCAAGTATTTACTTGAATTATTAATTATCAGATCAAGTATTTACTTGAATTATCAATTATCAGATCAAGTATTTACTTGAATTATCTTCAACTAGTAGTTGATATTAACTGAACTTTCGAAAAGTAGTCCTTAACAATTGTTAATGATATTTCGAAAATAGTATCAGAAATAGCAAAGAATCGTGTTGTTCCGGAGATATAGTGATCATTACAAAAATTTACAATACTAATTAATCAAATATCAGTCCATTTATAATAGTGGTTGTTGAATATATAAATATATAAATATTACAATGAATTGATACGAATTAACTGAATGAATGTATGATTACCAACCTTTACAACAATTCGATTCGTTGCAGAATATTTTAATGTAATAAGTGTTGAAAATATGTGTAATAATAAAAAATTACGAACTATTTCTGGAAAGTCCGATGTAATGGAATCCGTGGTGATCGACAAAATCGACACGAAAGCGATGGATATAGCGCTACTCGAAGGTCAAACGCCGTTTGCCCTCTTCAAGCCTGCCAAGGGAATTCCGGTACTCGTGAAAGTTTCACCAACTGGAACTCACAAAAATGTAAAATTCTTTTCTTGTTCAACTCTTCCTTTTTAACTCTCATTAAACCGATTTTGCATCACAATTCATCTATTATAAATAATAACTTAGCGGAACTTTTATAGTTGTTAATGTAGAATGAAATGTAGAATAACAACCAGTGGTTCCTAAAATTAATTTCGAGCCTACCGTGGCTACTTTTTATCATCAATACATTGACATTTCTATAACCATATTTCACTTTTGCAATCATTATCAATTTCTTCTTCAGTAATTTATTATGCATTTGCTTACTGAATGTAACAGAAAAAACGACGTGGTTTGCGATATGGTCTGGTATATAAATTAAGAAACAAATAATTATTTACTCATAGTACTTTATAAAGAAAGATCTGTGCTGTCTGCGACGAAAAATTGAGTATAATTCAGAATTAAACATAAAATATATTTAATATATGTCAAGGTCCACTTATCGAAACGCTTTCGACAGTTTTGATTATTGTTTCGTCGAAAATCAATATTGCAAAGCCTTGTCAACTGTTCTAGATCCTGACGCCCGCGACGGCCGAAGATTTACGAATGGCGGGAAAAATGACTCTGAGTCCGACGATCACGTCGGATCAGGACAGGATCAAAGCTGTTCAGATAAAGGTGCCTGTGGTAGCCACTGTTATCCAGAACGTTGATCCAGATGGAAAAATAAATTTCATCATTGAACCACCTGGACCTGAAAACGAACACGGTAGGTGCTACCTTCCTAAGAATAATCACAAATAAGCCTTCTAGGAACGAGTGGTATAAGAAAGTGCATACATACATGATTCTGCATGCAGTAATTGAAATAAATCTTGTTCACACATCACCTCATTTATTTGTCCATATTACATAGTACGTCTCACGATGAGCTACACGACCCAAAGCTGGAGGATGAGCCGATATGTAAAAACAAATTAATGTCACTAAAGGTGCTTGGATCTATTTGATCCTATATACATTTTTTTTATACTGTATTTCAAAATCATATTTCTGAAATATACACTAATCTTGACAAGGGACCAAATACAAACAACTGTCATTTAGATTTGGTACACATAAGTTACTTTTCATAGACGACTATCTTCATAAAAATTCGAGACCTCAAGCGATATAGCTAACTTTTTCACATTCAATTTCTATTATTTCAGTCCGTTCCAATCCTCAATCGACTAACTCTACAAGCAAACCACATTTAGTCCACCAATCCGCAAACACTAAAGACCAGTCCAAACTACTAATTTCTCACCTTAAAATCCTTTCGAAACCTATTGAACTATACCCCAAAATTTCAAATTTCAAGAATTCCAGATTTCAATATTCCACAGTTTCAAATTAATCACACGTGGCCAATATTTAACGCGCACCACTAACGCGTGGTTCACCGATCCTCGTGTGAAATCGCTCTATCCGCAAATAGATCACGGAACAGTGAACGCGCGCGTGCAATGGATTCGAGCCACAGTGGTCTAATCATTTCACAATCGTTGTCGCGAGCACGATGATTCCGATCGCGATACATTCGCGCCCGGTGTCGTCGGGAATCGCTTATAATTGGCTCGTTAAATCCGGCGATGTTTTTCAACACCATCGTCGCTGGCAATGTGGTCTTTATTCGGGGGTTGTATTGTCGACAGAGAGCCTGGTCACGGCATTGGACTCCCAGTTCACGTACGGCGAGCCAGCCAGAAACGAGCCGGATCGCCAGAATGGTACTGTTGTGTCCTCGTCGATGGAGGATTGCAACGAGTTGCTGGAACTGGCCGCCCAGGGCGGCATACAATTCGTGCGCGCCACCGAGGACGGTCGTTACGAGGTGATGAACTGGATCGATCGTGATTTTCGTATTTATCTCTGACCGATGTGGCCTGTACTCGCGATAGAAACCTTAGCAGGTGGTCCCTGATATCTCTGTTTTTCACTTTTCGTGTTTTCAAAGTTAATGGGATAACATTAACAAGATTTTAAATTAATTTGGAACAATAACGGAAGGAAATGACAGAGCTCGATCTCCTAAGAACTGAAACAAGTGTCACTCATTTGGAAAATTCAATATCGGCTGGAAACATGGCGTCAAAGTTCGTCATAAGCAGCTCTAAAGCTGGTAGACTGTGGATTTTATAGCTTATAGGGTTCTGTGAAATACAACGAGAGACGAAAGTTTCATCATATACAACGAGGTTTCTATGTTAGTATTAACTCAACGAGATAATTAATGTAGGAAATAATGCTCCACCTTTCCAGATAGCACATGACGCCTTGAATACGTCCATTTTACGGCTGTTTTAGGTCTGAGGCGCCTTTAAGCCTTAAATTCTTGTTTATACGGATCACTTCATAAGAATTCATTTTACAAGAAAATCCGCAGTCCACTAATTGATACATCTAATATATAGATTTCTGATCAGTTATTATGAAGCAAATAATGGCTTCGCGATGATTTGAAGGTCCAGCATGATTTTTCCAAAAGAGAAACACTTTTGCGATAGTTAAAGTTAGCTTCGTTCTTTTTATTTACTGTATTTTTATTATCGATTATTGGTTGCAGGTGATGACGAACAGCGAGGCCCGTGACTTGATGGCGCAGAACGCGCACGACGTGACGATCCTTGACGGCGACGAAGCGGACGCGATCAATGTGGTGAACATGCGAGGCAACGGGGAAGTCATCATCGGGGACCCGGATAATCAGATCATGGTACTTGACACGACGTCCGCGCAGAAACACATACCGATGGACAGTATCGAGATCCTCGAGGACAAAGACATACGTATTCTCGACAGCAAGAGCCTCGACGATCGTTTCGTCGATGGCATCAGCTTCCTCTCCCAGCCGAAAATCGATGACCTGATCCTCGGCTCGAAATCGTTGTCCATGGACGCCGGTGTCGCCGTCAGTGAACACGACGACGAAAGTAATATTTCATTGAGTTTTTTGTGTACGTCGTTCACCTTTTACGTGTTCAAGATATATTATTTTTGGTAGACTTACATTGTAGAACTGGGTATGCAGAGTGATCAAAATGAAGATCAAACAATATGATGTGTAGTATTCATAAGATATAGTAGTCCTTATATACATAGAATGGGCAATTTTTCAGCCCCACAATATAAAGAAGGTAATCATAAAGAAATTAGAGTTTAGACAGTGCTTGGAGTAAAAGTGGACTTAATCATCGTGGTCTGTCAGTAGTGTTTTTATTTGCAAGTTATTCGATCTTTTTTCAGATCACCCTGTAAATATTATTGTACCAGATCTATAATTTACGAAGCTTCCGAAATACGAATTTGTTGAATTTTACAACAGGTATAGGAGTACCCTCGAGTCAGCAAGAGTTAACGAACATTCTCAGTCATCGAAGCGAGATATCCACTTTATCAACGACCACACAACCTTCGATGTCGTCTTTGTTATTGAAAAACCATCCCTCCTTGTCAATCCTAAGTGAAACACTTCCGTATTTGAAGAGCAACAATAGCTTAACCGAGGATCTCAACATTCTCGGTAGTTCAACAATGGATGAACATCACTCCGTTTATGAGAGCAAGATGAAATTACCAAACGTATTCGACGACGGTGAATCCGATAGCGGTCTGATACCCATTAGCCAATCGGACATGAAAATTCTTGGAGCGTCTCATCAAACTTCGAAGGTAATAATTCATTATTCAAAACAATTAAATTTTTTCTATTCCATATTACTTAAGATCTTCGTATTTCTATCCTATTTTTCAAATTATTATAATACTATTAAGGTTTGGTTTTACTTGCTGCGAGTGTAATGAATATGGAAACTGGTGTAAGTACTTCTAGGTTGACGCGTTAAAAAATCGAATAAATGTTTCAGAAATATTAGGTGTACCAATAAATAATTTATTATTATTCGGCGAAATTGGTATTATTTGTGTTCACAATAATTTTTCAACATAATACGTTTTTTTCTCAATGGATGTTGGGAAAGATATTTTCAAGGTAAAATATGCCGCCTGGTAATTGAGACAAATGTTGGATTACTTATTGGTATATCTAATATATGTATTTAAATAGTTCGAAATTAATATTTCACTTCTATGCTGGAATTTCACACGAAGGTCTTGGATAATAAAACGAATTGTTTGACGTCGTCGAAACTGTTCGCCGGACTGGGCGAAGTGAAAATCTTGGGCCCGAAGAACCATACTCAAGAGATCATGGCGACCCAGTATTCAGACATGAAGCTGCTCAGTCCGTACGAGCAGTTTTTGAAGAACACCGCTGCGAACACGAACGGTTGCGATACCAACATCGTGAACACTTCCGGCGGATGCAGGAAGGAAGTGAAAATTTTGGGGAAGAAGTTGGGCACTGGCATTATTACCAGCACAGAGGACGGCAGCGTTGTAGAAGTCGTCGAAGAGAAAACTAAGCTGGTAACAGATTCTATTTGTTCACTACAATTTTGCTAAATTATCTTCTGGACAAATTTTAATCGTCATAAAATCGAACTGTACATTTTGTTACAATGAATCTGCTACTTTGGTTGTAATTTAACGTTTCGTAAGAGTTGATTTATTAAATCAGTTTGGTTGATGCAACTGCCGCGTATGAATGGATTTTCTGAAGTATTCTGAGAATTCTAGAAAGTGTTTAATATTTTTGATGTTGTTGCGATGGATACAATACGATGTGAAATAATTTTATGGTATTCATAATTAATGCATTAATAATTTTTGCTTGCATTTTTGAAAGTATTCATAATTATTACAGTTGTTAGTGAACATTGACTATTACTAAGTAGTTTAAACAAATTTATTATTGTTTTTGAAAGATGATGAACAACGCCGGAGGGCTATGCAATAGCGCGGATAGCACGGTGATTTCATCGCCCCGTTTGGATAGGCAAATCTCAGAAAATGGCGGTCCCGATAGTTTCTTGCTTCAGGTAAAGACATTCTACAATTACCAGGCCGAGGTTGTTTATGGGTACTTAATAAACTAATTCATGAAGATAGAAATTCAACGGAAATTTTTTATCGAGGTTTTCTTTTTAGGATGAACATGGAATAAACACAATGTCAAATATTTACGATCAATGGCGATATTTTAACGCCATGTTGCCTTACAGCTTCGAAAGTCTCTACAGTAGCAACAAACAAATAGTTCTATTATTTACACGCAGACAATGAGGAAATATATATTTTTACATCTTCAATATTTATATCTTCAATACACAACCCCACTTTGCAATGGAGGAAAATGACATTGTATTTGATTTTACATTATTTTCGTATTACGTTTAATATTTAAAATGCACAATTTTCTTGAAAATTCTATTCACTTAAAAACAAAAAATGAAAGTTCCATCCCACTTTAACGGTAATCCAGTTATTGATACATCTAATATACATCTACAGATTATTTTAATGAAAATAAATTATTTGTTTCATGAGGTAGATAAATATAATCTATGCTATTGTTACCTAGATCTAACAAGATAGAAATTATATAATATACAGGGTGACTCATTTTAGTCTACAATTATACTTAATTACTTTCATATGGAACTTACTTTGTCTTGAGGGAGCATCTTACGATGGTCATAAGTCTTGTCAACGGAATTGAAACGGAATTTAAAATTACTTTCTTTTTCAAAAACTGAACATGCTAGTAAAAAACAGATTGCAGATTCGTATTCAGCGCATACAAGTCCATCAGAAACGCTTATTAACAGTTACAGATTAACAGATAACAGTAAATATTAAAATGGGTCACTCTGCGCCAAGAAACAGTGTGAACGCTCAAAGATTCGATAGTATAATAACAACTGTTCGCAGACCGCTGAAACAAAGAATCTTTTCCCAATCGATGCAGGCCTGCAGCCCGTGCGACCCAGACTTCCTGAATTTCGAGAACCGTCTGAAGGACACCTCGCCGGGCAGCCATTACGAGCGAACCCAAAAGGATTCCAGGGACAGCTTCAGCTCCAACGGCGGCCTCCCCGATCTCGATTGATGAAGAATCCAATTCCTCTCTTCCTAGCCCTTTTTTTTTCTTTAGTCCTCCTTCGCCTCCGCGAAAGAGTCTCCCGAACGACGACGTCGAAAACTTCGCTCCGGCGGGCGACCGTCTGTCGAAATCTTTCGGTGGACGTGAAGGATTCAATTAGAACACTTTTCGGACGTGCGAATCGTACACGTCACGAGGACCAACTGAGATCTGGTTTAAATTCTAACCAGGGAACACGCCACTCCCTTGTCCGTGCGATTCGTACTCTTCGGATGTGCAATTAGTAAAATTTTTTTTTTTTTACACTAGGACACGAATATTGCTTAGAATTCTTGTGCTCGAGAACCATCAGGATTCCCCCATTGGGGTTGAACCGTACCCCATCTGTACTTCCAATGGTTCTTTTAACTCAATTAACTCGTTAACTACAGACCACTCGTTCTCGGAGATGAATTCGAATTTTTCTTTTACTAGCACTACCTGGCGGAGAATTTCGGAAGCTTTTGAGTATGCTTCAATAAGTGCCACGCTATTTCTAAAACGATTAGGAAGAATAACATTCAAAATGGTTATTAGTAAATTACTGATTTTACGCATTTATAGACGATACGATTGTTTAGAAATTGATGAAGCTTTAGAAGATTTCTTTTTTACTACGGAATCTGATAGAACAGCAAATCAAGTAAACAAATTTCTGTTTGAATTCAGTTCCTGTCAATTAGCCCGTAAATATTTATATTTCCATGAACATCGGGAGTCTAGTTATTAAAAACGATAAGCAGGGTAGTCGTTTTATGAGACGAGTCATCTCTGCTTGAGGAGTTAATTTTCGTGATTTCGAAAAATCTGTTTTTGCGTGTATAGAATCGACGAAACAATTAATCGATTTACGTCCCGTGAAAACAGAATTTCGAGAAAAGTTTTTATTGGAAATTGGAATCGACGGAATGGAGTTTGATCGAATTTATTCCCGCCTATCTTTTTTCTTTCTTTTTTTTTAAACTTAAAACAATGTATTTCGTATATTTAGCGGTATTTTTATATGCGACTCGCGGTTCGCTCGCGTCGAAGCTTACTAAATGAATTATATATAGAGAACGATGGAGAGAATGGAGAAACCACGAGAAATATAATATATATCGTCGCGAATATCGAGGAATCTCTTGAAACCTGTGTGCATTATACCGTGCATCGAATTCAAATGAGGTTCATAATTCGCGGGGATGCTAATGATTTTATTCACAGGAGAAAAACGTATTTTTGCGTATATTCCCTCCCCCCCCCCCCCCATCCCAGTCCTCCCAACGGTTTGTAAATTTCAATGTTTTTCGCAACGTGCACGCGGTCTCGTGTTCATATATGCGTTGTTAATTATTCCGAGTTACTATTTTAACATGGGCGATTACATTGTATAAATTCGAATAGTATTTTATATTTGAATTTCGCGGTTGGAGAATAAATTGTATGGACAAAACAATCCACCGAATTGTGCAGTTTATTTCTATTGAGCCGGGTATAACATTAAATTCCGACGGGGGCGTTTGTTTTAACACCCATTTGTAGTCGTTTTATGATCTTTTACGGACGACCGGTGAATGAATCGAGAGGATAATGGAATATCTGATATAAAAGTGAGTTTATTTCGTTCGGAGAAGTTAAAAATTAATTGTCCGTTGCGGGATATAGGATTATGTTGGTTATTTCGTTTATAATACCGAGTGTGCACACAAGTAACGATGAAATCAACGATTTTTGTTGGAAGAGTACTCACAGATCTCTGTCGCTAAGAATATAACTGGCGTTGTTGCAGCATACATTAATATTACCATCGTACATTGCACGAAGAATGTTGGTTAATACAATTCATAGAAAGAAAAATTTAATTTTAACAAACGTGAGTTTGCGAACTATTCTTTTGTATCCAACGTTTCAGCTCATCTTCAATGGCTTAATTATATACTTGTGTAGAGAATCTATAAAAATGAATAATATTGGTAACCGCAGAGAATGATTAATCAAAATTGAAATATTTTTATCATCCACATCTTTGCTTAACTAGTTTCTTGTGGATAATAGGGCCAAGAATAATTTTTATAAATATTTAAATTATGTATACCAAATAAGTGATATATTATTATAGAAGTTAAGCGTATGTATCATTTATTTTCATAATGATTTTCCAACATTCGACACCATTTTCAATCAGAAATCAGGAAGATATATTTAGTTCAAAATATATCGCCCAATAATTTAAAAAAAAAGTGGACTACTATTGGTACACCTAATACATTAAGTTTTATTTTAAGTATAAAAAGTTAAGCATCAATCACGTGGCACTAAAAAGTTTTTTAAAATTCAAAAAGTGGAGTAACATAATTAGTCACTTTGGCCTGTAAACGGCTCGAACGGCAACGACATCCGATCAAGTAACCGCTCGTCCTAAACATATTAAACAAATAATCCTCTATTATTTTGATTTCACAGTTCAAATAATTCATCATATTGTCGGACGGTGTGTGTTCAGCGGTGATACGAAGGAACCTCGTTACAACCGACGGAACAGAATTTAAAATCCGTCGATCGGCCGTTGATTCGACGTGGCAAGTGTCGCCGTCGTTTTCCGCTTCTGCGTGCGTAGTGCACCGTGTGATACATATTACGGTTTCCCTGTCCCCGTTCTCCACCGAAGCTGAGGGATCACCGAATTCGATAAAATTTACTCGGCAGAAGGTAACGGCGTATGTTTGCCGCGCGAACTTCCACCTACCTTCATTTCCGGCTCGTGTCCTCCTCTATTCTTTCCCTCTTACACGGTCTATGAAGCAGGCTTGAATCTAGTTGGGTCGGGTCGTGTTCATGTCGCCAGCCGAGACAAAAGGGAGCGTGTCGCGAGAAAATTTCTGCAACCAGACTGAACGGTCTTTGGCTCCGTTCGCCATCTTGGCCTTCTTTGTATCGTTCTTGCTCACGTCTCTGGTTTCGAAATGTTGAAGCAAGTAGAATTGCATTGTTTTTTTTTTTAATGGTTTCGAGGACGTACTAGCTGTCATTAGAAAGCTTATTAATTGATATTAAAGTACGATTAAGGATATTGCTGTTTTAACCGATTGTAGTCGTTTCTTTACCAATATTTTAACTATCTTGGAATTAATTTCCGTTTATTTTCGAGAGAATTTATTGTGTCTTCTCGTTAGACATACATTAGAAATCAAGAAACTAGAAAAATACAGAACTTTTTGTGTGACAGAATAGTTCCATTAGGATTGACACTTACGGACTACCATGTTGGTTATTATGTGTTACATACTTGAGATATTCATGGGCAACAATTTATTTCCTTGTGTTATGACTAGCCTGCGGAAGTTTATCCAAATACAAATTTTTACGAAATAATTTACAGAAGCTGAAGTTTAATAAATTCATATTTATCTTATTAAGGATTCTAGTAGGATCCAAACAATCTGAACACATATGTAAATAATTATTGTAAAATGTGTAACTTTAGTTTGTTCAACCCACGTAGATAGTATAAAATACATACATGTGCCCGATGGGGAGTGTTATGGGCGAAAGTCAGGGGACTTGGCCCCCCTCAGAGAAAAAATCCTAGTTACGCCAATGGCTACAATACTTCTATCACTTGCATCACTGTACCTATGTTAGCTTCATGTCTCAATCCGTGCTTACAGAGAGAAACTACTGTACATACAAAATAGGTCCACCGAAGAATAGCGAAAATCGGTCTACCTGTCGGGGTTGCGACACCTTTCGCAAGGGTAAAGCCCGGCAACTTGTCACCCTGTAGCGTGGTGAATCGGAGGCCCGTCCCTATTTTAGGAGGGAATTCACTTCGAATTTCGTCCCTTACAACTTTTTCCGTTCTTGCCTGCCACGGGACGTCAGTCTGCCTGCGCCCACCTTCCGCGAATTACCTCGTCAGAAATTCAACCCTCGTGCACAGCCATTTCGCAAATTCGATCTCCGTCCGCGCACGCTGGATGCGAAACGTCTCCCCGCGTGTACGCCCCGCCCCGACGTCCCGGAAGACGAGACGAAACGAAGAAGTCAATGGCATTACGTCAAATCGTTGACGCAATTTTCCGTGAATAAAAAAGTTCGTCGAGTTAGAAGTCATCGGGAACTCTATCAAAGACGTGGGAATCCGATTCAGACGATCTCGTTGAAACATTCTCGTTGACTATTGGGTTGGTCAGTGTTTCGAACGAATACAGTAAATTCTTTATGAGTGTCAGAAGGTTTCTCGACACTGACAAGGAGATGTCCTCAGGTGTAACGCTGATATTTTAATGAGGTTTATCACAGTGATGGAACTTGGAATTCTGAAGCCAATGATATTGTTTTAGTCGCATACGGCCATTAGTTTATGAAATATTTAGTGTTCAGCTTTCGAACACTCTTCGATGATTTACTGTAAACGTATGTTTCCTTCACTTTGCAAAATATTCTTCTTTTTACAGTTACATGTGTATGTATCACAAATATATAATGGTGTGCTATTTCTAGTACAATAAAAATATGGAATAATATTATACATTATAGTTTCTATTTGTTTACGGCCGTTAATGATGGGAGCAGTAGGTCCTGTGAGAAATTCCAATCGAATCTCGTTATCAATGCCGGTGACGTTAATATGCCACGCATTCTGAATTTTACCCGATAGAATTTAAATAGAATTGCCGCGAAAACGCAATTACCAAAATGTAATTGTGAAGCCTCTGGATCCCGGTGTAAATTGCGTTTGCAACGGCGTTTAAAGCTGTTACAAAATGTTCACTTTTACACCGCTCAATCATGGATAGAATACCGTGAATTTTTAACAGATGGAAATTCAATCCTTAATTAATACTCAAATATCGCAATGGAATAATCAATTTTTCGATTAAAGTTACTTCTGCAACGTTCGTTACAACATATCTTAAAACTTACAAAATATCTACCTTTCACTGTTTGAATTAATAGCTTAAAAGTTTGGTAAACAGTAGTTT